TTTTCGAGGCATCGATTTTGTGACGAAATGCAAAGATCATTATGGATAATATTGTTCCGGTTGTTCTGCTTGTACATCTCATTTGTAGAGTTGATTAATTGTTGCCCTTTGACCAAACGATGTTCTTTGCCGGCTTTCGTCTTTTGCCAAAGGATTTACTTTGCCTTTTTTCCCAGCATTTTCTCCAATAAACTTCCTGTAAATAGCTTTTTATTTTGAATCCTCGGCATTTTTGCAATCTTTTTTTTTTTTGAACCCTTGAATGCAGCAAATATTCTCTTGGAAAATTGCATTTCGCATGGACGAGAATCTCCCAGTCATCCGATGCTATAATAATATTATCTCTCATTTCAATTGCTCCCTTTGTTCAAAGTCTTGGAAACAAAACTGCTAATTAATATATATTTCTGTCTCTCTGTCAGTCTATGTCTTCTTATACGCCGCGTACGGAAAAACAGTCGAGAAATTCTTTCCGACCATTTTGCACAATTCCGCATCTAATTTCTGCAATTCACTTTTTTAAATTAAATTAAAACCGTTGCTAATTAGGATGTTCCATTTGTCGATGGATGTGTTTACTCTTTTTTTTTTGCTGCTGTTGCTCTCCAAAGGTGACTTCACTGCAAATTTATTATGAACGAGTAATCAAATTTATTCGAACCGTTTCAAGTTGTGGGGGAAATGCTTTGAAATGTATGAAATTTCAATTTTTTTCCCTCTGCTTTCGTAGTTTTTCGAGCAAAACAAAACATGAAATGAAACATTATGTTGTACTCAATTTCCCAATAAAAATGCGAAATATTGAAAATTACATTTTCCTTAAGAATAATTTTTCTAAATAGAAACATTTACGTCACGATGAAAGTAAAAGATCATGAAAAAAATGCACTTAAATTATGTCACTTGGGAGTTGATTGCATGGAACCGGTCACTTTTAATTAATGACTCTATCTCTCAGTTGGCTATTTTAAATGTTGGCTTTTAGTCAATTTCAACGACTTCTAACTTGTAAGTTATATTTATGTTGGGCTGGAGCGTATGTGCGTATCCGATGCATTCGGATGCTTAATAGCATTGGCATACAAAATTAATTAACGATCAACAACGGATCAAAGAAATACGAAGTGAAAAAAAAAATGTTCGTCAATTCGGTAAATCACAGCACAAATATTCATTAAAACAACCATTTTACCCACACTTTGGAATGGAGAAAAAGAAAGAAAATGCAAAAAAAAGAACGTTGGTGAGAAATTATAATGTAGTTTCAGATTAATTAAAATTTAATTGACTTTATTAACGTTATATGTTTATTTTGTAACTGCATATACTGCATATTGACAGCATGGTGGTGCTGAAGCAAAACAAAACACACAAATTTAATCATCATTTCATAAAAGGCGATTGAATCGATTTGAATAAGGCATTGGATTAATATGTGCGTAATTTGTGTGAATTTTATGCCAACAAGTCTCACGATATATTATGCAGTAGTCTCATATCGAGTGTTTCATGAGGTGAAATAAAAAAACACACACACAAATAATTATATGCAATATGGTTTTCCATGCAGTTTTTTGCCATTCGATTTTTCGGATTTCTTTTGTTCATGTCACGCGTATATCTTGCTTGCACGCAGATGTTTACGGGTTTTTTTTTCGTGTGTTTCTTGTTCGTTTATCACCGTTCGAAATTCTTTGCAGTAAATTTTTTATCAATAAAAAAAGAACCAGTGTATGTTATGAGCTGATGACAGCAGCACTAACTGACGTCAGTTGCTGAGCTCAGCTGCTGACGAGTATGCGTTGCATTGTTTTAACGCATTTGCAGTAAAAAAAAAAAGTGGAATCCAACAAGGTGTCATCTTATCGAGCCATTGGCTTCCACATTTTCATACTGCAAATGTGTTAAAACAACGCAACGCATCTCGTCAGCAGCTGAGCCCAGCAACTGACGTCAGTTAGTGCTGCTGACATCAGCTCATAACATATTCTGAAAAGAACGAATGCGTTTTATTTCTAACGAAGAAAACCAGCAGTTTGATATGAATGCAACTTGCCAAATGAATTATACATTATTTTGAAGATGAATAAAAAGAAACATTTGCACAATCAATTATAGTGGCCTAAACTAACGATCGCATATGAATAATTGCGGTAAAAAAAGTTGATGTGCGTGCGAAGTTCGAAAAAAAAATACTGCATTTGCGATGTGCATTTCGCTCTTCCATTCGATGCACGATTTGATCTACTGCGAGTCAACTCTTTGTCATCGAAAAATGTGCACGCGCACGCTTCAAATGTCTTTTGTCGAGTTTTTCGGCTAAACGGTTATTTCACTTGACAAATCATGTTAAATAATTGCGCTTAATAACACCCGTTCGAATGGAATGGAGGGATTCTTTTCATTCGTTTGCAATTTTCAAAAGCTTCTTTTTTGTCTTGTGTGGCACGCACATTGGCCATTATGTGATTATTTCGGTTATTTTGTTCATTGAGTTAATTATGAACTTCATTTGTTCCCACTCTCTTGATCGAGCGTGCAATGAAGAAAAAAAAAACAGCAACATTGCACATTTTTCTCTATATACAACTAGAAAAATGAATTAACACATCGATTTTATTCCTTTGTGTTTGTGTGTAGAAGAACAAGAGTTGGAACGAAAACAAAACACACACACACACAAACACACAGGAGAGATGGCAGCAACGAAAAAAATATTGTCTAGAAAAATTAATTAAAATTGCATTGGCGACACTAACGAACGGATATTACAAACAGCTATGTAATTCACATCCCCGCCGTTCATCATTAGTAAAGTGTTGTTTCTCGGTGCGTTTTTTTTTCGTTTTGTTTCTTCTCTCTGTGTGTGTATGTATTTTTTTGCGCGTTGCTCTAAGTACAAGCTTCAAAGCACGCACATCGTGCCATCACTATGAGTTGCGTACACTTGATGCACACCGTGAGTGTACAGCGCCGCCGTAGCTGTCGCGCACACACGCCAGAAAAGGAACGAACGCACAGCAAGCTGCACATGGGTTTTCACACGACAGAGGGAGAGAAAGAGAGAAAAACAACTCATGGTCAGTTTTAAAAATAAAACGCATAACCGAGTTAAATGGGTTTTTTGCGCGCGCTTAATTTTTGCTCATCCGTAAGCCGTTTGCATTATAAAGTTTGTTTGACATTTTCGCCTAATTTCGATTTTCTAACATTTGAACGATGCTTGCACATGCGACCAGCGTTGATTCAGTTGAGAATATATATTCGTTGTTTGGGTTTGTTTGACAAAAAAAACTCTTCGTCTTTTTCAAATGACAAAAGTATCTGTCGTTGTTTCAGCTGACTTGAAAATGTCATTCAATTGAAGCCGCTATTTTTTGGCTCGCATTCATTGCACTTATTTTTGGAATCTTCCACTTCCAAAATTCACGCGAGATTTGTTTGCTTATACTCATATCAAATGGTCAGATTCTCAGATTCACGCCAATGGAAAATGTGTAAAATCCAACTCGAATCGCGAAAACAGCAAAATGTGTACGTGTGTGCGTGTGTTCAAAAACCTTCGCAACGCAGAAACCAAAGTTGATGGCTGTACACAAATTGAACGCGAATAAAAAAAAACTGACTCGCAAAAATTCTATTAAAAAACTTATTACCAAATGGCAAACGGGCAAATGATATTGTGATTCGTATTTAATATATAAAATTCGAGTGATCTAAACACATGTACGAGCGAGCGCAAACGGTGGTCAAAGGAACATATGCGTGCATCGAAAAGAGCTGCAATCGAAATTACAATAACAAGCGTGTGCAGCAGTAGCAAATGGCGACAACAACAACAACATCGACTGCATTTTTATATAATAAAATTAAAACTGTGCTCTCAAGGTTTTTCACGACTAAAATTGCATTACAAGTATCTGTTGGTGCGTTGGGTGTGTGTGTGTCTTTTTTTTCTCTCTAGTTCTTGTGTTATCCCCCCAAATGCACTTACTAGATATAGAAAAACGCACATTGAAATTTAAAACCGGGGCCTCCGAACCAAACAAGTAATTCCGATTAGAGTAGCAAAAAAAAAAAAATCTACGCCAGCCGACTGCATACCATATTCAACAAATGTCGGCGGTTTTTATCGAAAAATTTGTGCGAATTATTAGCAATACGTTGTTGGTTGCTGCTTTTTTTTCGTTGCATTTTTTACAGCTCTCTTCACGCTGTTCATATCGATGTGTGTGTTGCCCACTTCCACATGCGTGTCCCAAAGTTGCTGCTGCTGCCACTGCCATAACAGCCACGCTTGTAAACAACTACGACTACGAAGACTGCATATGCACAATTATTTGATTATTAACATTTTTATTAGATAGGCTTCTTGTATGTTTTCTGTTGTTGTTGTTATTGCTTGCCATTGCCACCGCTGCCAACAGAAGTTGCAGGTTTACATTCTAGGCAAGTTTCAAATTAGCTACAATCGCATCATCAATTTTCCAGAATTGGCTATGCATGATAGAATTTGGCATATACATTTGAATCGTTTCCAACGCAAATAATGTTGTTTATTTAACTACTTTTCAAATATAACCTTTGCCCCTCTTCAGAGCCAAGAAATTGAAATCGTTCAGAGCGAAGAGCGAAAAACTCAGTTTTCATTTTTCCTTTCCTTCTTCAATTTGGGTATTTTCTCGATCACATCCCGTTTTTATTACTTCTTATGCACCAACAACAGCAACGGGAACAGAAAAATCAGTACCCAATTTTGAAATTGAAAAAAAAAATGTTCGGCCCAAATCAGAAAAAAAAAAAAATTCAAAGTGGAAATCTCAAAGTTCCGAAAAACAGAAGAAAAAAAACATGAAATAAATGATGGATTTTAATTTGAAGTAGCTCTCTTCAGCCTCCTCAACAATCGTTCCATATTTTGTTCAATTAGGCGACCTATTTTTGTTCGTTCGATTCTAAATACATGACACGGAAAGAGAAAAAAAAAGAATAATAATAAACCTAGGGGTTTCACGCAACTTAAAATTCATCTAAAATTTCAATATTTCTCTCTTTTCTCTAAAATTCTCTGGGATTCACCAAAATCCGTATTATTTCGAAATATTTCAACATTCACCTTGAAAATTATGTTCTGGAAGTGGGTTTTGGTGGATCCTCAGGATCGTTCAAAACTGCTCCCGGTTCTGGAAGTGGGTTTTGGTGGATCTTCAGGATGGATCAGACTGGGTTTGACAATGCCCTGGTCCATCCTGAGGATCCACTTCCAGAACTAGGAGCGGTTTTGAACAATCCTGAGGATCCACCAAAACCCACTTCCAGAATTTTTAGATTCAAAAAATTCTAAAAAATTCGAGTTTATGAATAAAAAGAAGCAATATCTATAGTTTACACATAAAATGGTTTTATTTCCAGATATTTAGTAAAATCTTCGGCCTTCGAGTTTGCGTGAAACCCCTAGTAATAAACGGAATGCGCAAACAACAGTCAAACGGTGAACATGATTGCATAGCAACTGAATAAAAAAATGGTTTGTGCTTATTTATAAGTGCCATTTCGTGAAGAGATTATTGTTCGATTGGTGTTTTTCTTGCTCGTTCTCTCGCTTGCTAGCACACACACACACACACACACACACACACTTGCACAGTTCTCTTCCGAAAAAAACAAAATCCCCGGCATAGGGTGAAAGTGCTGGAGAATGTGCCATTTTTTGGCCAATAAAAATAAAAGAAAAATTCCACTCATCAATATTGGCTGTTACCATCCAGCATTTAATTTCATCATTTTTTTTTTGGATAAGTACCGAAGAAGCACTCACGCACATTCATTGGCTGCGTATTTCTTTCTCGTTTCATTGGAAAAAAAAATTTCTTAAATTATTTCCGCTGAACATTATGGTGGAAAGAGTGTCCATGAAGTGCAATTTAATTAGCGTTGCCCCGCGCAGAGCAACACATAAAACCAATAGAAAAAAGTTTAAGATTTATTTCCCTGTTCGAGAAGATTACGCGCACACTTCGGTACGGTTCAGCGAATTTTTGATGGAATTGAAGCTGAATTGCATTGTTTTTTTACTGCTGTTTCTGGAGATCGAGAGAGAGAGAGAGAGAGAGAGAGAGAGACGTCGAGAGGGAGCTACAGCAAGAAACGAGGAGAGAAATATGAGGAGAGAGAGAGAGTCTTCATTCTCAAACGCATGCACCAAATAAAGCAATAAGCAAACACAAACACAAAATTGTTCGATTAACAATTGACTATACTTACTATTAATTTAAAATTAGAGCAATTTGACAACCATCATCGTAGCTGTTGTTGTGCCAAAACGAAATGCAACGCCCTTATATTCGATATTTGATTTGCGTTGTTGACTCCGTTTTTCCTCTCACTCTCTCTCTCTCTCTCTCTCTCTCTCTTCGCCTCAAAAAGGAAAAAAAACCCACAATAACAACAACAACAAGTCAATGAGTCACACAGTGTGTGTTGGTATGTGTGCTTTTGCGTGCATTTCATTTTCGTTGTTTTCATTTGCACATAACAATTTTACGCGTTGCTTACTAGATCATCGATTTTATGGTTGTCGTTTACGATTTTTTTTTCTTTCGTTCGTTCCTGCATGCAGAAAAACGGTTGGGTTGCACTTCTCTATGTATCCATCCGCATGCAGTGCGTTCGTTGATTACCAGAGAGACAAACAAGTGTAACACAATAACCTACACACAGTCGAAGCAGTGGCAATAGCAGCAGCAGCTGTAGTAGTAGCTCGATGCATCGTTGCTTGCATTGCGAATTTCGAAAAAATTTCGTCCTTTTTCGACCTTGCCAAAAGTTGCATGTTGCCACCACGCATTTTCCCATACAAATACACAATGTTGTAATACATGCGCTATATACCCACCAACGCCGTTGACTTTCCGAAATGCGTCGAACATTTGGATCAGCTGTAAATAGTGCAGTATATTTTGTCACACTATGAAATATCATGCAAACTCGACGTCTTTGTTGACAACTGAACCAAAATGAGTGAAGTTCGATATCAAACTCACATTGATGATGATGGTGAAGAAGTGATGGTGCATGTTGTTAAAATTCCGTTTCATGGCTCAATTGCTTCGATGCGAAGCGAGTAGGACATCCGATGCAAGTGAGAGGGGAGACGGGTTTGTATAGATAGAATAAAGACAAAGCATACAGCATCGAACAGGTTGCAAGTTAAACCGTATTGAATGTTAAGAGAATGGAGTGGAATGGAAAGTAAAAGCGAAACAAAAACCGATTCGCCAACGTTGACCGATAAGACTTTCTATGTCACACAAATACACTCGTACACTTCCGAAAAGTTTCGGTATTGAGGTGTCGTTCAGTGTTTCGTTCCATGATGTTGCTGTTGCTCCTTTTTGGCATGTTCATTTACGAAAAACGAACGATGCAAAAACTGAAATTGATGACTTTGGCTTGTGTTTGCTGTACGCCAAACGCGCCCAATTAGGAAAGAAACGAGAAAACAAGCACGAGAAATTTGCATAAGAGAACCAAAAAAAAGACACATACTAAACTCGGTGCAGTGTGTGTGTGTGTGTGTATGTCATGCTGATCAACAAGCTAATGAAAGCGTTTGCGAAAATTTGCTATCTCTCTCTCTCTCTCTCTCTCTCTCTCTCTCTCTCTCTCTCTCTCTATCTATCTATCTTCTTTCTTCGCGCCTTCTTTTCTCGCCTGCCACTCAATCATTCCTTTCGGTCTCTTTTGTTTGGTCTATTGCTTTAGCTAATGTTAACTTCATCGATGTGTAAACGTTGTCGTCGCCGTCATTTAACTGCTTCGTTGCTATTTATTAATATATCAAATTGTTATTGCTGCTTCACAAATGCAGCCAAAGAAATAGAAGAGAGATAGAGCAAGAGCGCGCGTACGATGCGCGTGAGTAAGCGAACTAGCGACACAATCCGACCGCCCGCCCGATTTCATGCATTTTCGCTGTACGAGTGAGACGAGTATGTGTGTGTGAGTGTGAGTGTACATATAATGCATTATAAAATTTACACATAGAAAATAAAATTATCTCGTCCTTGGCTGTGCTGTTCAACTTTGTCCCACTTATTTTCGCTCTATGACTGTTTCTACGATGTAATAGCAATGCACAACCGTTCAGCGCATTATAACAAATGTGCATTTTCGATATGTGTGCTACATACAACATGCGAATATAACGAATACGCTTGCAACTCGACGGAACGATTGGTGACTTATTAGACGAACGAACGAGCAAACGAATAGAAAAAGACGAAATAGAAAGAGTGAGTGAGATAGATAGAGAGAGAGAGAGAGAAAAACCATCAAACAGAACCAAACATATTCACTCACACAGAAAATCTCGCGTACCGAGTGGTTTTCGAAGCGTAGTTTGGGTCTCCAGTTGCAAGTCAAAATGATATCTTGGAAATGAACAGCTACGGCATGCACAGTACATACTCCATCTCTTTCCCTCTCTCTTTGTGTGTGCAAAATGCACACGCAACACATGCACGACCAACTGAACATAAATAAATGTTCGAAACCGAAAACGAAAAGAAAAAAATAACAGCAGCAGCAGCACACTTTATAAGAAACCAAAGCACACACAACTGCAACCAATATGCATGATTCTTGGTGTTTGCTGGCCAAAGCTTTTGCTATATTATCGCTTTGAATGTCTTATCCAACAACAATAACAACAACAGTGCACAGTTTTACTTGGCGCCCGTTCCCACAACCATTCATTCCCATTTGAATCGGCAATCGCTCGGCGTTTATTCCGATCGAACCCATTACATATATGTATACAGTGGAGTCAAGTCGAGCCGAGTCGAGTCGAGTCGAGCCATCGTTCCGCATTATAAATGAATGCGGATTGCACTGAAGGAGCCATAAAAGATAAAGGGGCACAACAAAAGTACACTACAAGCAATAATACACATGACATTAGAATTACTTTGAAATGAAAACCATTTTACTTCGACCGCTGTTCGCAAAGAACAGGGCCAACAAATTAAAATACGCAACAAATGAAAAGAGAGAAGAAGCGAACAGCAACAGCAACAGCAAAACCAAGTAAAAAAAACTGTTTTGACTGCGCCACAATACATCCGCTTGACTCGATGCTTGCACGGTTTTTTTTTCTCTCTCCTTCGATGCGATGAAAAATAAAAAATTGACTTGCGAAACAACGAAAAAAAAATCCCATCAAAAATTCTATACGCCATCGAATCACTGCAGGCGTCAGTCGCATCCACATATTACAAAAACAAGTCTCTGGCTGGGGCTGTACAAATATCGATATTTTCCGGTTTCAGTGCAAACAAAATGGATATTGGCCGGTTATTTTTTGTCTGTCGTTTCTGTTTTTAATCCGGCTCAAAATTACCGTTACAACCGAAAATCCGATAATCTTCTTCCAACCGTGTATACACATATATCGGAATTCGATCAAGAGAACGGGTGTAAATTGCACTCATTCACTCGCTCTTTTTCTCTCTTTGTATCTCAACCGAAAGGGGGAGAATACAGAGTAAAGAACCAGAAAAAAACCATTCATTCTCGAACTCGGATATCGGAATCATTTTACATCCAGCTTTTCGAATCGTGTCCCAATTTATATTTTCTCCTTTTCTCCTCTCTTTTATTCGGTAAATAGCAGGGAAAAAATATTTAATTACATTTTTCTTATTTTCTTTTTTTTTGCAGGTAAGCGAAATCCAACTGTGGAATTGAACTGAAACAAAAAAAAACAACAACACAACAAACAGAAGAAAAAGTTTTCAATCGTTGATTATTTCATTTTCGGTGTATGTGATTTCCGAAATGGTGGTTGGTAAGCGAAACTTTATTTACTTTAGCTTTGGGTTAGCTGAATTATAGCTTCGCAGCAGACGAAAAACCCATTTCGGTTCCGTTTCATTCCCTCAGGTGATTGCAAACAGAAATTTGCGCTGTTTATTTCTCTGCCATTCCTTCGTACTTCCCGTTTGATTAGCACGCACGCGCGCGCGCGTTTGGTTCCATTGCAAACTAGTGAATTGCATCAAACCGTTAAATTAGTTAGATAAGCGTACGGGGGACACGATTCAATTCTTATCTCATATTCGAGAATGCATGTCGACGACGACGACGACATCGTCAAACGAAAGCGAATTAAAACAAAATTACGCATTATAAAATCGTGCTGCGTCGATTTGCAAATTTTCAATGCCTAGAATAAAAAGTCCGCGAGTGAGGGAAAGAGAATGAAAAAAATGTATAGTTTGGCGAGACATGCAATAGATGCCAAAATCGCGACTGTGCCACACTCTGTCTCAGTCTTCGTGTGCATCGAGCTTGTACACCGCATATTTCGAAGCGACTCTAAACGCTGTTTGACACAAACGAATCATCAACACTGGCCGACTGATGTATGATATCGATGTTTGCACTATAGACTTTAAACTAG